AGGCCTCGTGTTTGGGTGCAGCGTGAGGGGAGAGGCCGCCCCCGGCCTGGCCTGCAGCGCGGGGGGGAGCTTTAGGGAACGTCGGTGTGTTTTTTGTTTTGTTTTGTTTTTCTCTTCTGCAAAGCAAAATTCCTTGAAGGTTTATGGCTTTTGTGAAGGAAGATGAGGCAGGTTTTAATGGTTTGGAAGGCAAGTTATCTCTGGATCCCTTCCTGTCTATGGCAGTGATGGAGGAAAGGCTGGGGGGAGATACTTTGGTACTGACTTGGCTACCCAATGGTTGTATGACAGTGAAGAACCATAAGACTGAAGATTTCATGATGTGAACACTGGATTTCTTCTGTACCTACCCAGACTTTACTTACCGCTTTTTTATTTTTTTTTGGGGGGGGGGGACTGTTAAGCCTAAACAGTATTATTGTTAACTGTGTAGTACTTGGGGCTTACTGTTCGTGTGATGATGACAACCATCATCTGTGTTAAACTGCGCGAAAAGAAGATGGTTTTCTTGTATGTTTTTGGAGATTTTTTTTTTCTCCTCAAATATAGTTAAATTCTAGTGAATATTAACTTCTAGGGGCATTCACTATAGTGATTCTGGAACTTATTTCACAGAAAATCAGTAGTAGTAACCATGCTCCCATAGCTTGCCCTCTTAGGGCTGTTGAAAACTCCGAATCATTCCCCCCGCCATCTGTTTGTTTTTTTGTATGATAAAAATTTTGGCTAAAGTGGCAGAAAGCTTATAGTTTAAGTGTGTGGTGCTCTTCCTTTAGCTTTTTTTTTTTTTTTTCTCTGTTGTGAAGCTGGGAGCCAGGAGGCATGCTTGTTTTTGGCCCTTTTAAAGTTGTGTCTGAATCACCAAGTTTGGAATTTCCCATTTTCAAACAAAAGCAACTTTATTTTAAAGTTGGCTAAAGCAAGCTTTAATTTGTTTTGGAATACAGCATGTAAGGGCAAATAACTATCTTGCCCTTAACTTTGTGAATCTAAGCGATTTTTAATTCCCCTTAAAAAAATGTTGTATAGATAAACTATATATGTCAGGAGAAACTCATGAGCTCAGGATGGTTTTTTTTAGTGAAATTCTTAATGTCTTTTCAGACTTTATCCAATAAGATTACTCAATTACACATTTTCTTTTGAGTTCTAAGTATGAAGTCCTGTGTGCAGGTAGAGGAGATGAGGGATTTGTTTTGTTCTATTTCAAGTTGGAAGTTGTTGTCTCACTGAGTTAAGACTTAATCCCTAACATAAAATTGAAAAATAAGCTTTTTTTTTTAATATCTGACTAAAACCATAGAGATCTATATTTAAGATGCAGTTGTGTGTGGTTTTTTTTTTTGGTTTGTTTGTTTGTTTTTTCAGAAACAGTGCCTTGTCTCTCCAGTCCTCCCTTGATGATTTAGAAGGGGGAGAGGTCTCTGCCCTGTTTTGAGGCCAGTAGGGACTTAGAGTTGATCCTTCAGCCTGTGAACATCAGTAAATGCAACCTTTCTGAAAGGAATGTTATCGTAGATTCTTCTAGTCAGTTAACTAGCTCAAAAGAAAAACTTCCTCCCTGTTGAACATAGGAAAGTATTTCACTTTTAGCTTAAATTTGTGCATCAAATAAAGTTTAAGTAACCTAACTAGTAGGTTTAGAAATCAGGAAATGCAAATAAGGTTCAAATAGCAACATTAATTTGCCTGTTTACTGTTTTGTTTTTCTGGTTAAACATATATGCCACGTGTTGTCAATTGTGAAATTATACATATTTATCAACACAGAGGCTTTTTCAATAAAAGCCTGTGGAAGGTTATCAAAACAAGCTAATTTCTGTTTATTGTTTGTAATTTACGTTTAAGTTGATGTCCAAACTTCTGTGTAAGGTAAAAGAATCAGTAGAAACTGTGGCAGCACAGTGCTTATTAGCTGAGCATTGATTCACAGTTCTAATGAGAAATGCAATGATCAGCCTGTATTGCAAAGCCTATTGTAGAGCTTAAGTGTTTCCTTTAAACTTTGACATGAGTAAAACCCATAACCATAAAAAAACTGAAATTTCAAGTTATTATTTATTTCAGTCTTGCGGTGTGTTCTGAGGTGATCGGTTTTAGATTTGGCCTAAAGGCTTTTTGCTTTGTACGCAGAAGGAAATATTAATTAGACCTGTATATTTTAATCTACTTTCTGCTTATTCTGATGTGAAGTAGGTAAAGTATGTTTCTGGAATTGTAGTGTCAGATTTGTTGGTTCGTATATTCTTGCTTATTATGTCAACTTTTTACTTCAAAATGAGTTCATATCCAACCAGTGATACTCTTTAAAGACTGTCCTGTAGTATAGATAGTCAGTGCTTGGCTTCCTTGTGCTTAATAAAGTGTTCCGAGATAGTGATGATTTCTTGCAAGGAAAATAATGTTTTCTTAAAATGCATCTAGTGCATATGAACTTTAGAGATTTCAAAGCATTTCAGTATTTATCTGAACAGTTTTGAAATTTTTGAAACATAGGTTACAAGGTGCTGGTCAATCTTCTCAGCCTTTTTTTCATGTGGGGCTTGTTTGCATATGGAATTTGCTTATAGAATTGTATATTAAACTTCTTCAGTAAAGTATTTCATCCTGCAGGATAGGAGCATGTTAATTAAGAGATATTAATAGTATGGAATTATTAGCAGTTTCTTTACATAGGAAACAGCTAATTAGCTCATAACTAGAGGAGCTGGCCAGCCTGCTTATTTGTCAACTTTAAAGTGGGAAATACTACTTGACTACCTCAGGTCTTGAGGATTACTAAATTTGAGATTATGAAAGTTCCAAGTGTCTGGCTATGGTTCTGTCTAGTGTTTTATCTTTAGCCCTATCTAAGGGCTTTAACATATAAACTATGGCTAATCCTACTGCAACTGTTAGACAGTAACATCTCTCTCTGTCCCAGCTTCTTGATACCAGAGACATCAAATCATTTGGGAGAAAAGAATGAGGTTATTTATCTACTTGTGTAAATGTCCATCCTAAGTTGCCTGTTGCTCTGTGAGTATAGATTGTATTTCCATTACTTCTGGCTTCTGCTACGTGCAGAGGCTGATAAGCTATGCATGACAAATACTATCTGAAACACATGGCCTCTACTCAGTCTTTTAATGGCTCTGTGGTTCTTTCATCTTTTTTTTTTTTTTTTTACCCCTTCCTAGTCTTGCTCATCACTGACAAAGTGCGCTGAATACAACCTGTCAGGGCAGATGTACCACAAGGTGAAACTAATTGAGAATGATAACTTTTGGAATAGCTGCAAGAGTCTCTTAAGTAATGCTTTTCTGCTGCAGCAAAATCAGTTTAAGAGCATAATAGGAGTAAGAGAGAAAATGCCTCTAGGAACACCACTCTAAATGAAGCATTTCTTTGCAGACTGCCTGTTAGGAGAGAAGGGATTCACTAGATAACATTGTATCCAGAACTGGCTGGGAAATTATTGCAACTTCTTAGTGATTTTAGTAGGGAATGTGATGTATGCATGTCTAAGCTGCATATTGTCTTGTTATATCTATGTGTATTGTTGTGTGTATTGATGACTGTTGACTTTCAACTGCAACAGTCAGCTGATAAGTGGCATTTCTTATCAGCTCTGCTGCGTTACTTTTGTATTTTTCATTGTTATTCATTGTCATTTATTGTCAACTTTCCCTTTGCTGTTGCTGCCTGTTATAAGTGCCTTTTGAGTTAGCAGCTGACCATGAATATTTTCCGTAGCTTTAAGAAGCTGTATGATTAAACGAGCCTTTTTTGAACCAAGGTGCTGCTAGATTTCTTCATCTAGACAGGTAACACTTCTTAACCTGCTGAAGAGTCTTTGATTATAAAATATTTATCTAGTAAAGGAGTGTTTTCCTCTTGCCAATGTCTTGCGACTCCTGAGGTGTGACAGTCTGAAGTACAGTGCTTGAATCAAGACAGCACTATCCAGAGCAAGCAACTTCTGGCTTGAAATGTCTCAAGGGGAAAGGTTATCTTGCTCTCTCAAATGAGAGGTGTTAAGAGAACACCTTTTTTTCCTTGCAAAATTCTTGAATGTATGATAGCATCATAAGCAGAAATGCGTTTTGTTGAATATAGATGAATTCAAGACTGGCTCTCTGGTGAGCTGAAGACCCTGTTAGCAAACAGACAGACTTTCTGAAACTTTTCAGCTTCAGATAAGTGTAGTCAAGATATAACTTGTTTGTTTGAACGGCCAGTTTGAAGCAGTTTTCCTCTTGCCCTGGCTACACCTAACTTGGCAAAAAAAACCCAAACAGTTGCAAACTTAAATGGATGGCAGGGTTCACGTGTGCTGAATCCATCTTTATTTTTCCCCATTTGAGTGGGAAAGGGGCATAAGTACTAGAAAACAAACGCAGGGAATATGGGATTACTAGCCTCATCCCGGACAAAAATGTTACTTTTTGACCCTGGAAATCCTGCAGGACTTGAGGATATAACTTAAATCATTCCCCTTGTTGAGACAGCAGACTAATTTCGCGTAGAGTCTTGCTCTTGTTCCTTTCCTGATATACTTTTCATTCATGAAAATGCCTCTAGAGCAAGGAGGTGCTTAATATCATTTTAAATGGCTGCTTCTCAAAGGATATGAATTAAATGCTCACTGTTTCTCACACTCAAGCTAGCATGGATTAGCAATAGAATAACTTTCTGTTCTGGTTGTGCTGGTCAGAGTTTGTATTCATCAGTGTAGCTGCAAACTTAACTAGTTGTAGAGAATTTAACTGGAGTACACGTGGTTTGAACAAACACTTCTCCACTAATTTTCATTTTTTCAAATTTGGGGAAAACTGCATGTTAATGGCAAACCCTGGCTCTAGTGTTTTGAGGTAAGATTCTTCACCAATTAGATCAGAGACAGTTTAGTGTTGATTAATTGTCCTGTATTTTTGTTTCATCAATACTGTTGCTTTTTTTTAAAAAAAAAATACAATAATAAATACCACTTTCTTGAATTTCTGGAAAGGGTTATGTTTATAAAAATGGTATTTAACTCAGGTTATTCTTATTCTCTGCTTAATTTAGTGCCTCAGTGTCCTAACATGGATAACAGGACAAGTGTTCTTACAATAAATGAGACTTTTTTTTTTTTTTTTTTTTTTTGTATCTGTGGATAAATCAGCTTCTTTTCAGTCATAGAAACCTTACTTGTATTTCTGTGTAATTCATAAAGTAGTCAGTGTGATTTTTAATTTCCCTAGTCTGATTTGCAGTCTGGCAATTAGAATGGAAAAAAATAAATCGGACTGAGCTAATTTAAACAAGAGGTGTCATTGGCATTTTAGTGAGGTGATTCATGGAGGATAAGTTTTGGGTGTCTTCCCTGTTTATAATTTGTTAAAATACTTCTGAAGTCTATTTTAGGAAATAATATGTTGTTAATCATTGTTCCCAATGTATGTGTGAGTGTTATAGTGTTTATAAGTGTTATGTTCCCTTTTTTAGAATTTGTTAATAGTTTTCTAGTAATTGTCTGTGTGTATTAGAATAGTTTTAAGGACTAGATTGTAACGTGTAGTAGCAATTATTGTAACTGATCTGTCAAATATATTAAAAAATCTGTGCAAATTAAAATGTGTCAGAAGAATGTACAGGCTAGTGTTTGATTAACACTTAAGCTGTTTTAGGTTAATGACAGCTTCAAGAGAATCATCTAGTGAAGAATTAATTATGTAAGATTGGTTGTGAAATCAGGGGAGGATATATTTCCAATTTTATCCTTCTGGTGGATAAACAGACAGGAGATATTTCTGTGTTCATGAACTTCAAGAGCAAACCAACTTTATAAGCTAAAATAGTATTCATGGGTGAGGATAAATAACATTGCTAAATAAAGCAGTCTTTGTTCCATATATTAATTAGGTCTTTGGTAGGTTTATTTGTTTGCTTTTCTTTCTAGTATCCTGATGATGTTTTCTTGCTGTTAAATCAGAATTCCTATTATAAAAACAGGGTACGTAGAAATGAAACAGACCCTTTCCAGTTGTCAGGAATTAGGATAAAATGAATATTCTTCAGTCTGCTTTGAGATAAACAACATCTCTCTGTGCATTCTACTTAAACTTCAGCATGTTGCAATGCACAGGTGGAGGTATGTGCTCGTAAAATTTCTAGCAGACTTGCAGAATGTGTGTTTAATCGTGTATTTCAAGAGATAAAGTGATTGCCTAAAACCAATTCATGAGGAGAAAAATAATGCCTTTTTTTTTCTTTTTTATTTTCTTTCCTCTGTCAGGTTTGTAAATACTACCTTTGTGGGTTTTGCCCAGCTGAATTATTTACAAATACCCGTTCTGATTTAGGTAAGTAAGTAAATTTTGCAGTTTTTGTTCACTTACATGTCATCACAATTAAGCTTTTACTTTGTAAACTGCATCCTTACTCTTTTATTCTCTTTTGTAACACTTCAAAACCAGACACTATTAGGATTGCCAATGATTAAATAAATTTACTATGAGCAATGTTTATTCTAAATCCTACTTCTTCTAAGTGGAAGACAAGGTGAGTGAATTGTAACAAGACCCTTTGTGAATATAGACCACATTACCTCCTAAATTTACGTGCAAGGTATGCATTTTAATTAGCCAAATTCAAAAAGTAATGCTAGGAGCTTACAAAGCACTTGTTGAAACTATCCCCTCTCCCTCAGAAATCTCTGTGTTGGCATTTGTTTTCTTTTAAGTATTTTTCAAACTCCAAGCAAAACAAGCAGAAATGCAGACATAGGATGCCAGACTTTATGTGCATTAGTTTCACCCTTAAAGTTGTTCTCTGGGAAGTGTTTAAAATTCTACTCAGTCATGCAAAAACATGATGATGCGAAAACCAAATGATGATGGAGCATGAATATGATGTTCAAGAATGCAAACTTTTTGTGTGTGTTTTATTTTTTTAGGTCCTTGTGAAAAGATTCATGATGAAAATCTACGTAAGCAGTAAGTATTTTGATTGCTGTGTTAGTGCAAAAAAAGTTTATAGTACACTAGAGATTTCCTAAAGCCACAAAAAAAGACAAATTAATTGCTTTATTGACTTGTATAGAAGTTTTATGTTCTGTTAGCTGAAACAATAATTTTTTTAACTCTGATTTTCGCATTATTTTTGTACGTTTTATAGTCACACGAACTTTCACTTAAAAATCTGTTATATCAGGTATGAGAAGAGCTCTCGTTTTATGAAAGTGGGCTACGAAAGAGACTTCTTACGCTATTTACAAAGCTTACTTGCAGAAGTAGAACGCAGAATTCGAAGAGGCCATGCTCGCTTGGCACTGTCACAGAATCAGCAGTCTTCGGGGGTAAGTCTAGAAGAATCTCTAAGGCAAATAATTTTTTTTCTAGATAGCATCTCCATGATGTCTTCATCTAGTCTTGGGCATACTGTGAGGTAGATGACAGTAGAATCACAAAAGTTTAAGAAGGGAAAGAACACCTCTGTGCAGGTTTGCCAGCTTAGTGCTGCACGCCACAGACAGCTGCTAATGAAAAATTTCACCAAATTGGGGAAGCTGCTGTGTCTTCACTCTGCCTATTGTTTCTTGTGCTAGGGTTGATTTATCTTTGGAGCAGTGACTGTGGCCTATGCTGTGCAAGTTTCCTGACTGCCAGTGTAGTCATTACTGTCCCAGTTACTCTGTGCAAAGTGCGGTTCATTCAGAAGGAGCTGTGGATAGTCTTCTCTGTTGAAAGTTGTGGCATAGAGTGTGTAACTTGTCTACTTAGGCAAGTATGGAGAGGATACCATGAACAAATGTGTTTGAAAGAAATGAGTTTTCTGGCATTTATTCTCAGAAGCTAGATTTCTGTGCCTAAGGAACTTCCAAATCATAGTTAAGTGGCTGTAAAGATGTGTGATAATAAATAGCAGTTTTAGAATCTAGGTTTGGAGTTTGGAATTGAAACATCTCACCTTCTGTGGCTCAGGGACTTCAATTTTTTGTCGGTTTAGACTGAATCTGTGTGGCTGCATTCAGCAAAAGTGAAGTAGGATGGTGGGGAAAGTTTTGTGGTAACTAAATTGCTAGTAGGTATTTATGGGAGAAGATGTAGGAGGATTTTATTCCCAAAGGGTTTTTCTAAGGTGAAAATACCTATGCCCATGTGTGTGCATGTGTGAAAGTTGTTTGTTGTAAATGAAAAACCATGACACTGTAATTACGCTTTGCAGGCTGCTGGACCAACTGGTAAAAATGAAGAGAAGATTCAAGTGTTAACAGACAAAATTGATGTACTTTTACAACAGGTAAGTTTTACCTGTTTTAACAGAGTTTTCTCTTCATTACTTGACTAAAAGTTATTATAGTTTTTCTTTATTGTTCTTTAGATTGAGGAACTAGGTTCTGAAGGGAAGGTGGAAGAGGCACAAGGGATGATGAAACTTGTTGAACAGTTAAAAGAAGAGAGAGAGTTGCTGAGGTCTACAACTTCAGTAAGTAACGTGTTTGCAGTTCTGTTAGTTCAGAATTTAGTGCAACAATACTCTTAATCAGTTTGTCCTTACATTGGAGGCACGGGCCTCTATGCAGAATTTATTAGAAAATAGTGACATTTAAATGTGTTAATCCAATATGCCAGTTGAACATGCTGCCTTGAGAGTAGTTCACGCACAAATAAATAAATAAAATTGTTTATACATACGTACAACTTTTGGATTTTTGCAGTTTGCTATCTAATAGTATGTTCAAACTTTCTTCTTTCTTGCAAAAGCAAGAAGGTCTTTTTCGTGCCGGATGATTAATGAACAGTGCATAGTAATGATTGTTTGGGATTAGGTTGCGATTTCAACGTGCTTTTCAGTATGTCTACTTCAGCAGTCAAATACTTTCAGCACTGTTCTTTTAAGCAGAAATCTGATGTTCCTTTTCATACTTCACTATGGGACACTGTAGGATTTTCATCCTTGAGGCATATTTTGTTTTTGTTCTGCGGACATTTTAGTTGACGTCAGAAAATCATCTTAAGAAGTTGATTTTTATTTCCCTTAATCCTCAGGCCACAAAGAAACTGCAGGTATGGTTAGATTTGCTTTAAACCATGCTTCTCATGGTAAAAAAATTGTCCTGCACTTCCTAAGTGACTTTTCAGCAATTACTTGTGATTTACCTAGCTACAATACCTACAATTTTATTCCCCTGTATTTTTCAGTAAATGTGTCGAAGTATGCGGTTACAAATTTATGCTTATAGTAGTGGTGCTGGATTTAACAACAATAAAATTCCAAACCTTTTTTTTCCCGCCCTGGAGTCTGTTTAACACTTTTCTGCTTTGTTTTATCTAATACTTCTTTTGCAGACGATTGAGAGCTTTGCAGCCCAAGAAAAGCAAATGGAAGTTTGTGAAGTCTGTGGAGCCTTTTTAATTGTAGGAGATGCACAGTCCAGGGTAGATGACCACTTGATGGGAAAGCAGCACATGGGTTATGCCAAAATAAAAGCAACTGTAGAAGATTTAAAGGTAAGTGTAGGTTTGGTTATTGAACATGTAAATTTGGTTTGTGTTTTTCTTTGGCAAATAAAAGGCTAGCTAGCAGACTCTTCTCAAAGACATGAAATATTCCAAAGATAGTACATTTAAAAAAAAAAAAAGAGAGAGAATCAGATTGTGCACTTAGCGTTATGCTTGTGCTGATCTTTTTGCTGTTGTTGCATGTGTTATAGTAAGATTAAGATCAGGTGGCAATGTTTTATGAGTTTTGTGAAGAACTGTGATATGGCCTGCTTTCCTAAGAAAATTATTGGAAAAAGGGTCCTCCAAGACATAGAACTCCCGTTTCATCTTGTTGACCAGGACTGCTCCAAGGGATTTCTGAAAATGCTTTTATGTTGACTGTCCTCGATTTGTGCATTAGGGAAAAAGTTTACATAATCTGAGGATGTGAAAGCTTAAGACTTTTAAAAATTTCATTTATATTGAATGATTTGCCTTGAGTAATATTAAATTACTGCCCCGAACTCCTGTATTTTTAAGGAAAAGTTGCGAAAAAGAACAGAAGAACCTGACCGTGATGACAGGTTAAAAAAAGAGAAACAAGAGCGAGAAGAGAGAGAGAAAGAGAGGGAACGGGAAAGAGAGGAGCGGGAAAGAAAGAGACGACGTGAAGAAGAAGAAAAGGAAAAAGAAAGGGCTCGTGATAGAGAGAGGCGTAAAAGGAGTCGTTCTCGTAGCAGACATTCGAGCAGAACATCTGACAGAAGATGCAGCCGTTCACGAGACCACAAAAGATCAAGAAGCAGAGAAAGAAGGCGAAGCAGGTATGTGAGAAAGTATTTTCATGTAGTTTTTTTTCAAAATGCTAAAATGCTGGGGGGACTTGGCCTGTCGGTCACATCACTAGTTTGTTGGTTCCACTCTTGGTTTCTCTAAGTGTGAGTTTACGGATTCTAAAGATAAGCAGGTTTTGCTACATACTCATTCTTTTTCTGCATTTCTGGAAGCAGATGAGAGCACTGTAGTGGAATTAGCTTTGAGCAGACGTATGCTCCCAAAACCAGGGTTGTATCTGTAACCCATTCCTCCACACACGCATGTTGGACTTAAAGAGATGCTGCTGCTAGGCGTTAAACTGTGCGGTCGAATGCTGGAGTAGTTGAATAAGGAAAAGTGAAGCCACATCTTATGGGCAGAGATATGCTTACATACCCTATGCTAAGCCTTGTTTTAAATATTTACTCTTTTGTCACATAATTAGTAGTAGTTTCTGTCTGCTGACTTGGGCAATATCATCTGACATTTGCATATTTCAATTTTCTCTAAATGTCAGGAGTCGTGACAGAAGAAGAAGCAGAAGCCATGATAGATCAGAAAGAAAGCACAGATCTCGCAGTAGGGACAGAAGGCGGTCAAAAAGTCGGGATCGAAAAGCCTACAAGCACAGGAGCAAAAGCAGAGAGAGAGAACAAGACAGGAAGTCAAAAGAAAAAGGTATGTCTGTGTGAATACTGTTCATATCAAAATCTGTAACTAATCTTCCCTAAAGTCTTGAATGTTCCTAGACTGTCAGGGACTGAAAGTTCTTAGCATCAATTCAGAACTGATCACATAAGCTGTACATGCTGCTGTTAACTGATTCAGTTCACTCCTGTCATTGCTAATGCACACATCCCAATGTCTGCCGTTTTATTTGTTGCAATAGTTATTAAAAGTTTACTATTTGGTCTTGAAAGTAAGTGTACAAGGATTTTGATGTATTTTAATACTTGTTGACTGTTACCTTTAGAAAAACATTTACAGTGTAATATTTTTTTCTATGAATATCTTTTATCATTAGTATTATTTTTGTTATTACTTTTTGCTCATTTGTATTCTGTGAGAGACTGATTCCTGGCTGTTCTATAGCACCTGTTACTTCTTCACGCTATCATGTTTCCTTTATTTTCCTTTAACAGTGCCTTAATTTTCCTTAATTTATAAATACATACCAAGAAGATAAGTATTGCAGAATACCTGTAATGTTTTAGGTTACAATTCCATGCTCCTCCCCCCCGCCCCCTTTTTTTTTTTTTTTTTTTTTTTTTTTTTACTCTCCCCTTGTTTTAAATGAAGTGAGACTTGCTTTGTTGGTGTTCAGGTGAGATCTCATGCTGTTTTCGTCCTTGCGACTTTTATAGCAGTACCTGTCGTGTACAACAGCACTGATAGACACACCGTGTTTCATCAAAGATTAGTAATCAGATGCTTTACATTTACGTAGGTTTCAAGAGAGCTGCAGAGAGAACACAATAGGTTTACATTCTGTGAAAAGGCATTAATATTACTGTCATTGCTAAATTCCTCCTTTAAGTCTTACAAAACTTCTGCATGAGTCTAATGCTAACTTCTGATCTAAAAACTGATGCTTTTGCAGAGGGTGCTGAGCAATGTCCAGTCTGCAGCAACTCCACCTCGTAATTATAGATGACCATCAGTAATGGGGGAAATGATTTATGTTTCTAAGATATTTTTTGAGGTTCTCTGGCATGAAAAGTGCTATGTGCATGTTTCTTGATCAGCCCGTTTGCCCTATCTTTACTTTTTCCATGTTTCTCCAGCAGATTAATTCCTGAAATGTAGGTAATACTTACGTATTTTTCTTGCCTGACTTTCTTGGACCGCTTCAATTTTCTGGTTTATACTGTGGTGCATCTTCAGTGTTGATTCCTCTCTCATTTTGCTTTGTCTTTTTGAGGCAAGCATTTTTTTTGCTGCTTGCTTTTTGGCTGCAGCACTGATGTGTAGTATTTAAACTCAGACCCAGTATTGTAGCCTGTATCTGTCCTGTTGTTACTTTCTTGCTATCTGATGTTGTGCCTTTTTTGCCTACTTTATGAATAGATTTCTGGTACTCGTGAAGAATACCCTCTTCTATATTCTCTGTCTATTGACATATATAAATAATTGATTTCTACAAATTTGGTCTATTTATTGAGCTTATGGGTTCTTGGTTCTTTCCTGAATCCTTCCATAAATACAAAGTCAAGTGAAGTTTCTTCAGCATCTAAATATTTTTAGTTTCCACTTGACTATTTTCTCTGGTGGTCACTTTATTTGCTGCTAGCTACCTTCTCGCTCCAGAAATGAGAACAGTGGTGTGATGCTATGATCTATGATAAAACTTAAACGTGAGAAAATAAGTTACTTTTTTGACCTCGTAATTATATCTAAAAATATGAAGAAGCCTTGGAGCAAGATGGCAATGCTAAGGATATGTTTCTTCTTCCAGTGGGAACATTTTGAAAGCTGGGGGGAAAAAAGTCAGTATTTACCAAGCAAGCATTGAACACATGACACTGTAGACAGCTGTGCAGAGAGCTTTAGAGGCTCGTACGTTTGAGAAGTGATGTGGCTGCCTACCCAGCTTGCTGTTTGCACAGAAAGAAGTCTGTGGAAGAGACTTAGAATTATGTTTACTGCTCCATTGGGAGGGAATATTTGCTTCAGAATCTAATTGTCTTTATAGCTAAGATTGATCTGCACTTATAAAAATAAGCAGTAAAGGCCTGTCACTAACTACTTGTGGTAGTGCCTTTCCTCTTGAAATCTCAAACTGCTTTATAAACATGGATCTAACAGGAATAAACAAGGCCCTGCTGCCCATAGTTGCCCAAGACTTGTTCACTGTTACACATTAAATGAATGCCATCCTTTGAAATACAATGCAGAAATCCTGGCTTCTTTTTTTCTCCAAATCCTGTGAATGACAGTGACTTTTAAGATCATAAGGAAAAAAAAGTAGTATGTAAAAATAGAGATATTTAATTTTTGAGTCTGATCTCAGGAGTAGAAAAATACTGTTAACCAATATACCAGTTGAATATTAGCATAATATGAATCTGGTTTGCACATACTCCCATTTCATGGAGGATTAATACTGAAACCTACCACCAGGCTACTTTTTCATGGCTCTTTACTTTCCTTAATCTGGGTTCATATACTTTAATTAATTGTGTTCATGCTAATGATTAAACCTCAGCAAATCCTGCAAAAACACCCAAACCTAAAGTATTATTTGGATACTGTATTTAATATACTGATTTTTGCATTCTCTAAACAGTAAAAGCATTTGCATTATCTTGATCAGGGCTTTTATAGAATATATCTCAATTGCCCACATATACTCAATCAGAAAAATGTGCATGTGTTTATTACTCAGGAACAGTCTTATTACTCATTCAATATTACATGATTATACATAGTAGATTGCAGTTAAAATAATGTAAGCAGAATGTCAACAGCAAATTAATGGTATGTGCTTCTAAAGAGATAATTGCTGAATGACTATATAGCAGCTGCTCACAAATACTCTAGGAGTTGAAAGAAGTTCCGTTCTTTAGACTCTGTTAACTACACTCACTCATTTCTACTTGGCAAACTCAAGGTTTGCTGTGGTAAAACTTTTTTTTTTTTTTTTTTTCAATTGAGGTCTTTAGAAGAGTGTCATCTTTCATGGCACAGGTTAATAGTAGCTTTTTTTTTAATCCTCAACCAAATTTTCCCTCCTGCCCAAACTCAAGAAACAAACAAGACAAAACAAAATCCTGCACACTGCACATCCATAGGGCTATTAAGATCTACCATATCTACATAGGACAGAAGATAAGATTAATGGACTGACTACTAGTCCTCTGCGGGGAAACAAGACTACTATTCCTCAGTGGATCCACGTGTGCATCGGAGATACCTATAAGGCACAAAAAGAAGACTTTGTAACAAGGTTAGTTAGAGTGCAATCTACCTGCGGAGTATTTAAAAAAAAAAAAAAAAAAAAGGCAGACAGATGCAAAACTATTAGTTCTGCAGTTAGCTTTTTGACATCGCTGTGTGCTGTATCCAAGCACTATGCACTGGATGTGCTGTTTCTGATGAAACCTCAATGTTAGTGTGTTCTGTAGGCAGATGCCCTGATTCCTGTTTGGGGAGCTCTTCCCTCCCTTTGCTGGTCTGTATTAAAACAATAAAGTTGGATGTCGCTTCTGGTTTTGAAGCTTAATTTCTACTTTCTGTCTTCTGAAATATAGAAGTGTGTTATGCCAGTCTAAGTGATGTGTTATTTTAAATAGCTTTTTCAGAGTGTTTGATTTGTGTGCTTCTGTTTGGGGTTTTTTTTTTCCTTTGCTCAGATAGCAGGGAATAATCAGAAAAAGAGCGTGAATGTTGTTCTGTATGCTGACATCCAAGAGGTTGGTTGGCTTTTTTTTTTTTTTTCCCCTCCCCCCCCTCTCCTCCCGCACACACACAGATCTCTGCTGATCTTAGGTTGAATACTGGTGTATGAAATAATGTAGGAAGAATTGACATGTTTATTATATTTGTAATTACTGAATTTACAGATGAGGCACAGAGCTATAATACTGAATGTTTTCTTTTCCGTGGAAATATTTTTATTCTGGCTTGCTTCCTCCTCTGAAGATTGTTGAGGAAAAGATGAGTTTTTCAGCATTGTAACCAACTCTTCAGTCACCAGATAGCTTTCTAATTCATAATGAAATTGTGGAGTCCTTCCCATCTTACTCTTCTTTTGCCTTTGGAAAACAGTGTTTTATGTGTCTTCCAAACTTTATTTCCCAAACTTTAAGTGAATTATAAATGACTACAATCGTTTAACTCTCAATTTTATATTTGAGAGTTAAAAATATTGACAAATGCACCTTTAACAGCTTCTGCTGCGTTCATTTTCGTTATCTTGATACCTATCTTTAAAGCTAACTATGGTTAATATTGTTCATTTAATAAGTATTTGATTGTTCACGGTAATTTATGTATTTTTATTTGTTTGCTTTTACTTGGCAAAGGGTGATTTATTGGAAACGCACTGATTCATTGTCCTATCACTCCTTTCTGAATTTCTTTTCAAGAACCATATTTAATAAAAACTATATACCAAGGATGGCCATACACATGACAAAAACTTGGGGACAAAGAGTCCTGTATGAGTAAGGAAGCCAGTAGCCACGCATCATTTATATATTTCTTAACTTGGTTTTGACTGCCTTCCCTCCACTGTCCATTTACATATTTCAACAAACAGCTGAGTAGCCAACACTTAGGTCTGTCCTTTTTCCTCCTTTCCCCACCCTGTACTGTCCTTTTTGAATATTTTTGTGCTCTGCCCATTGCAGCATGGTGGTTTGAAGCCTGTTTCTATAACCTTTTGATGTTTAGGATTTCTAATTATAATATAATTGTCCCTTTTTGTATGCTTTATATCTCACATGTGCAATGTTTGTTTTTTACTTTGAAATCCATGGTCAATGTCTTCTTTCATGGCAGAAAAGAGGGGCTCTGATGATAAAAAAAGTAGTGTGAAGTCCAGTAGTCGAGAAAAACAGAGTGAAGACACAAATACAGACTCGAAGGAGAGTGATACTAAGAATGAGGTCAATGGGACCAGTGAAGACATTAAATCTGAAGGTGACACTCAGTCCAATTAAAACTGATCTGATATGACCTCAGATCAGACAGAGGTAAGTGCATTATTTCAAACTTTGATTAGGCCTTTTGTTACTGTTTAACAGTGCAGCGTAAGTATGCACAGATGAAGATGGAACTAAGCCAAGTAAGAAGACATACTAAAGCACCTTCTGAAGGAAAAGACAGTGTAGTCCTGCAAAACATTTTGAGGTACATTGTTTTGTCTCAGCTATTTTGTAGCAGACTCGTGCCCCCATTAGTGTGCCTCTTTGGGACATATTGTAATATAGTCACCATAGAAAAAATAATTATCCTTTTTTTTAATTTTAGGGATTTTGTTATCTTTTTTTTTTTTTTTAAATTGAACTGTTTTTGTATTTAAGTCCATATTGTGTTGGTACATCAGCAGAAACTTTTGCTTTAATACTTAATATTTGAGGCACATGTTGGACTACTTTGTTTTTATATAAACTGCTAGTATTTCTTTGTCAAGGATGTTTCTAGTTTTTTTGCTTTATTGCCTTGCATTCTAATGCAGTTTGTTCTGTAACTCGAGAGCCAGTAGCATTGGATTGATGGAAGTGTAGGGTTTATGAATTATTGCAGCTGACTACCATACCTCACACAGCGTTGGTGTTGTGAGCGGCCCATGAAAAGCCAAATTAAAAATCAAGGATTCAGTCAAACTAAGCAGGTACTCATGCCAGGTACTCCTTTCTCTACCCACATCCATGTTTGAATGCTGTTGCCTGTAATCTTTAAGCTTACTGTTGTGTTTTTGATTTACAAGATAGTGAAAAGGATTTTTTGTGTATTGTCTGAATTCTGTAAATCTGATGTTAACAGAATGGAATTTTCTTTCAACTGTGTGTAGGGATGCAGTGCTGCCCAGAATTAGATATCTTTAAAGAGTTTAAAATGCAATAAACACTACCTAGTAATCGCCTTGTTACATTCAGTGCAATTCAAGTCTTTAAGAGGTATGTGCTTAATATTTCCTACTGTGTAGGAGAACTTAGTCAGCCATAGTACAGAGAAGTGGAATGGCTGATAACAGACTACAAAGGCAGATGTAAATACAAAGGCAGATACTACCAAGTATTCATGGCAGGGGTATATGCTTAAAATGACTTATTGGAAATAAAAGCTAAATATTAGGAAAGACAAATAGTTTATTTAATAATAAATAAATGTTCTTCCCTTCACTCTTGACCTAGCTTTCTTACTCTTGCGCAAATTACTTAGTTGTATTCCTTAAATAAGGAACTAACAGTGAAGAATACAGCTGATAAATGAGCTTGCAACGTGTAAACTATAGCTTCATTATTTATGTTAAGAATTCTTAAACACTTCATGATGATCATTATTAATACTGTTGTTGTTTCTAAAGCCAGTTATGTTCAATGTTGACATTTTCGTAGAGTTAAGATGACAGCTAACAACTGGGCCAATATATAGGAATGGTAAATGAAATGTTGTTTACATTGTCTAATTGTCTATTTTCCCCAAATTTTGCGTTATAGGACAACTACGTGAAGAGTCTGTGAAGACGGCAGAAGACAGCTTAAAATGAAGATCTGCTTTAAAATGAGGTGAAAGAAAGCTGTAGTGGCGTAGAAACATATAAAGTTCAGTTAGAGGTTTTTTTTTATAAAAAGTAATTCGGGACTGGTGTTTCCTCCCAGAGTTCAGAAAGATGTGTTGATAGCACACATGCTACTGAGAATATAAGTCCTGTATCCTTTTTTTTTTTTTTTTTTTTCTTTAAGACTTTTTAAGATAAGAAAGCAACATAACCTGAACACATGGCTTGCTCAGTGTTTAATTGCAAGTTTTCATTCTTGGACTTTAAAACACAAGAATAAATGTTTAGTATTTGTGTGAATCAAACTAAAATGAATCCCATTTTTACAACTAGGCTTATTCCTAGCTTCTTGATATATGAGAAATGGAAATAAAGTATCTTTGAATTTCTGTTACAAATTTGATTGTCTCTGTCATTGAATATTTAATATTAAATAAGCTTCTTTCCTAATAAATCTACTCATGTCTTCAAGCTTAGTCCATGAATTTGGACGTTTAGTTTTTCTGTGGTGTTTGTTTTTCAGTAGTTATAGTATGTTTGAAGCTGATCTTTCAGCAGTTCACTATCAGATTTCATCCCCTAAGAAATAAAGTCAAGCAAGAAATTACAGACATTTCACAGTAAAAATGTAAGTCTTTGAAAAAATCATATAGATGGGAGAGAGAGGTAAAATTATAACTAAGTTCTAAAAACAGTAATACATATAGTCAGTCTTTTGAAACTTCAGACAGAAGAAGACATCAGATACGGTCTGAATAAATTGCTTCTCTCACTGGCCAAAATGTTTATCTTCCATCTTCTGGGGTACATAGTATTTGTTACAATAGTGACATTTTCCCTTCTTGTTTATTCTGCGCAGGATTAAACAAGGTACCTCATAGTAGAGTTAGGACACAATTCAGGTTGTCTGACATATCGAGCAGGGAGTGTCTAGAGTGGAGACGAAAGAAAACCTGCTGCAAAATGCTGCATTTCAGAACATAGGAATCTAGTGCCTTTTTTTGGTAACTATGTTCAAATTGACCACAGCTAGCATCCCCTGATAGATTCATCTGTATGAAAATGTCCTTTTCAGAGCTCAGAATGAAGTCTTGGAATTTTCTGGGCATGCTATGTAAAAAGTGAAGTACCATACTTAAGGGTATCCCTTCTGTTTTGCATCCTGATACTATTTTATTTGGTGTTTAAAATGTGGGTGGTTTTTCTTTTTTCAAAGTTGTGATAAAATTTTAAGTGGTTTAGTTATTTTACCCCAACCCACCCCCCCAAAAGAGAAGCAATCTACATATGTGAAACAACTGGATGGATTATTTCATACAGGTGAAAAGTAGCAATGTTAGTTCAATAGAAGTTTGTAGTTGAAACAGAAGTTGTCCTTGGAGAAAACACTAAATCCTGTAAAATTATTTTCAGTTGTCATACTGACAGTTTATTCAAAGGAAGAAAAACAAAAAGCTAGTGTGCCATTAGAGTTTATCAAACAGCATAAAACATACAAAAATATTTCTCTGGATGCATAGACTTACTGTTACTAGCAGTATTAGTCAGTTCTTGATGAAGTTAACAGTTGTTCTTTGTGGAAACTACAGCAAATGTAGCTGCTGCTATAGCTGAACTTTCAGTAATTAGTGGAGGCAGGCTGTTTTCCTAGACACAGGAACTGCACAATTAACTAATTTTAATTTTGAGCCATTAACAGATTTTTTGAACAATTATTGCACATCATCTTAAGTAGTCTTCAAACTATGCTGAAAGAATAAATATGCAAGTGTTAAGATAAAAGTCCCTTTCTTGTCCTACAAGAAAAAGAGGGTGGTATAGCTATGGATTTTTATTTTATACTGTGTCATAGTCTTGAGCTCAGCTGACGTTGAATCACACTTCAACACTAGCGTAGCTCCTCAGTGAAGAAGGGAGGGAGCCTGTACTTGAGCAGTTACTTAGGGACTGATGCAAGACTTCACCTAATAAAACTTCCCTTTTGTGCACTTAACTATGTTGAAGAGTGGAATTGCAAGGGATGGCAGTTTAAGTGATGAGATGTTAAGTTGCATTCAGTGTAATATGGAGCATTTGGGAGGGAATTATGATCTTTTTTGAAGCCACTGGGCAAAAAAAAATGAGCTGAAGAAGTAATTACTTTGTTTTGTTTTTATGTTTAGTGAAAGTAGTTGGAGGCCTTCAGCCCTCTGCAGTACTTCCCTGGCTAAAATATTTGACACTGTAAAAGTGAGAGTAGACCTTAAGTAACACTGCACAGTCTAAGTTACAGCTTATTTATTCTTTCACAAGTGCAGCACTAGATGCCATTTCTCCTATTTTGTGAATGTTTGCCAGTTAGTATGGCCAATAGAGAGCATATTATGTTCCTTAAGCTTATGATACCTCAAAACTATACTGTTGTATCCCTGACCTGTTCTGGGTGAGGCTTGGCTATAGAGTTACCTACTTCCAGTATTGAGTTTCGATGCAAGTAATGCAGAGTGTCCTCAAGAGGTTGAGAAAAATAACTGAGTCAGATCTGCGCCCTCTTCCCTATCTCCTGAAATGTAGTGAGCTGCCTTTTGAAATGGAATGTTAACTGCAGATTAATGAAAGACTTGTATGCCCTTGAGGTATGGACCTGTTTCAGGTGCAGTTCTGGGGTTAGCTTGCACAGAGGCAGTGCAGGCCTCTCTGCTCATGGTGCAGACATGGCTCAAATAATAAGGAATCTCCATTGCACTTAACTCATTGCTATTGCACTTCACTCCTGGGCCTATACCTGAAATTTCAAAGCCATGTCTCAAATGGAAAAGAGTCAAATTCTTAAAGATGCTTCTCTGTTGACTCCCACTAGTGCAAGCCTTCAACATACTAGTCCTGCTAGATCACCTACCGCTTTGTGGTGAAGTGAAAAAAGACACCGCATTTCATTAACATTCTTGGAAAAGATTAAGGAATTGCACATTTTACATGTTTAGGGAGCAACAGTTCATTACATGCCCCCAAACCCTCTAAAGCTCAACTTGATGAGGAATCTTAAAAATAATATATACTTTTTCCTGAATGTCTTTCCCACAATGATGTAACTTAGTTGAAGACTGCAAGGACTCAACATACATTTCATACCATCAATTAAGTTCTTCATATTCTCTCTTGCCAAATACAACTAATAAACTTTATTGAACTGCATTGGAAGCATATGATTTTAGTAGACAAATGAGGTATCCTTTATCTGAATACAGCATCAAGTAAAAAAATAAAAGCAAAGGGGATATTAAATATCAAAGATAAACTATTAGTTAAAATATTAACCCTAACAATAACTTAAGGTTTCACACACACACTTAATTCACTGCCTTCAACTGCAGTAGCATGTAATTACCAGATTTTTCATATTCTAGACTCAACTAGAAGAGTCAGTAAGTCAGCTTAGATGCTCTACTGTTGTAGCATGGTCTTTCGGTCAGAGTCGATGCAGCATTTCTGAAAGGAGAGTTATCGCTTTTTGCAAGAACCAGTTCCAGTTCTTGAAAGTCCTGAAGTCTGGCAACATCCTTGTCCTTTTAAAGATGGAGAGGAGAAGAGCAAATCACTTCTAAACACATCTACGAGTTAAAGGAAGTAAAAGCTAAAACCATACATGGTTCACACCCAATAATATGAATAATTCCACAAATCATGTCAGCTTATACTCTTTTTTTCCCCAAAGCTTTGACTATGTCACTTTACTGAGATTTCATTTACAGGACTCCAGGTCCTGTAGATGTCTAAATCAAAGCAGCATATTCTTTTGTTAATGGAATGACTTTAAATTATTCACATGCCAATTTGTGAATTTTCTCCCCTTACTATTTGTTCTTTTTAGACATGCAAGCACTTAAGTAGTACGTGATGATTATGCTAAAAGCACATTAATGCATTGTTTTTGATACATTAAAAAATCAATATGGAATCATTTAATATGCTTTAAGAGGGGAACTACTTTATGCATCATTGACAGAAGTATTCTGAAATACATTAAATGCCCGAGAAGAAGTTTTGATTTTGTGAACTTAAATCAGATTTGGGTTTTTTTTTGAGCACAATGCTGTGTTATGCTGATCCTTCTACAGAATTATCTTCTCTAATATCTACAAAGCACAACGTCAAATTAATCTGTGATTTGAAAACGCTTACCTTTCTCACCAGCGTATTAGGTAATTTCCTGATCTTCTCTACTTGTTCTGGATTAACACCCAGTTCACAGCAACTGACTCTGAGCAGATCTTGATAGGTCAGTTCTTGTCTGTCTAATTCAATTTCAATGAAGTCAGTGTCTCTGAGGTTCTGCACTCTTACCTTAAGCACAAGTTCTAATTGGAGAAAAAGGAAAAAAAGTTTTAAAGACAAACAAGAAACAAAGGCTAAAGTATTTACAGTTCTCTCTTGAATTCGGGTTTTATAAATATAATACCCATTATCCCATTGAAGTGGACTGCATAATTAATGGACTGATCCTTCCATGGGGCAGAAAAAAATAAAAGAGCTTGCAAAAGGTACTGTATTTAAAATGCCATATAACCAATTATTTTGAGAGGAGAAAAAAAACAGTCCTGGGTATCATTTTGTTCTTTTTAGTCAAAAAAAATAAACGTCTTTGCTTCCATTCCAAATGAATCTGAAAGTCGAATGAATCATTTTTAAATTCAACTTTCAACTAGTAACCAAAATAGAGAACAGTACATACCAGATGGGAAATCGCCCATCCTTACCTTGCATGCTGTATGGGAAAGTTCCAGCAAGGAAGAAGGGTTGAAATGTTGGTGCAGGGCCAGTAGGTGACCCATTCGTTTGCTGAGGTACAGCCTGTTTCGATGCTACCGGTGAAAAGAGGCCTCTACTGTGAGACAAGGATGGGTGACAAACAGGGCCATTCTGTACGCTTGGTTTGACGCATTTTGGCGCTGTGACAGTTGCCGGCAGGGTGGGCAGCTCCTCTGCAGGGTATAAAGCAGGAAAATCCTCTTCACCATTCAGTGATGCAGGTGTGCAAATGCATTCGACCTGAGTTGCGGGTGAACATGGACCGGGTTCATGCTGGGAAGCGGAAGACGTGGAAACACTTTCATTCTGGGATTCTGTCAAGTCGTCTGGAATGTTTTCTTTAGGGTAAATGTAAGGAAATGGTGGATTGGCCAAATAGTTTGCAACAATTGGCAACTTTAGATCTTTCACTTCTTGACATTCAGTTTCTTCCTCTGTCAATGCAGTTCAAAAATGCAGGGATAGGCAGTAGAAAGAGGGGGAAACAAAGGAAAGAAAGAAAACACATTATTAGATCTTTCATTTTGAATATAAAGATTTTAGTGGATCTTAAAACTGCAGCATCTTGTTTTGAGGTAATCATAAGGATTATACTAATTTATCATAACTCTATGGCAGTTGTAAGGCAATAAAGTAGAAAATGAAAGAAAAAAATTGGATTTTTTGCAATGTGTTTTGGTTTTTAAAAGCAAAGCAGAACGAAACATTTAAGGAAATGTCTTTTCTAGCACTGCTGTTTTAGCATTTTCAAAGGAACTGACCAACAGTTCCTCGCTAAGCCTCATTCTGTAATGCCTTTAATCCACTGCTGTGTATAGTTTATTGTGACCCATACCAACAAATTAAACATCATTATTTATTGTGGTGAGTGAATATTGGTAAGACCTAAGTCTCCTTTTCTCTTGCTTAAAAGCACTGCAGCAAATTAAAATCTGACCTGACTGAGAATTACAGGACATTTTCCTAACATCAGAAAGATCTGGTCAGCAGCTCTGCGTGACCAGAATAAGAAGCATTTAGAAGAATGTAAGTAGTAAGTGCTTATTCTACAGCCAACACATGAAAGCTCAATAACTTGACAGATAAATAAAGCAACAGTGAACAGGGCATTTATTCACAAAGCCTTGTCAGTTTACATGTTAAAAACAGAATTGAAGTCATGGCCTGAACAAAGCTGAAGAAATAAGCACCTTGCTCAAAACTAAAAGGTTTGTGCAAAGTATATGCCATTCATTCAGCTGCAGCTGTGGTAACCTTAGTCATGGTTTAGCTGCTACTTCCTTTAGAAGAGTACACCTTTAATGTAAGATCATATCACTAGGGAGAGCTATTCACATGTAAGTATAAATCATCAAGACTTGTAAATGTGAAACACTTCAAGCGATCTGCAGTCCATAAGTACACAGGTGCTGATGGAAAGAGGCACCTGGACTGTTCATGGGCAGCACAGACGCAAAGTTCAGTGGGAACTGCTGGGTTTATAGACAGAACCATGAAGCAAAATTATTACAGCAAGTAGCGAAATGCTCAGAAACTATCATCACAGTTGCTTTAATTGTAAGACTTCTCATGGTCAAGTTGTGCAATGTGCAAGTCCCCAACTGGACCTCCACATTAGCTTTTATTGCTGGTGGCAGCAATACAGTCCCTATGTGTACAACTTCAATCTCTTGGTGACCAAGCTCTGAATACTTAAATGAAGTCTGAAGTCCTCAAGTCTATTTGCATGAGTGTGGATTACAGTCATAAATAAGGGCTGTATAACTAGATACTTCGGTATAATCTAGCAGCCAACATAAAAGCATTTGAAAACACAAAATACCAAGAGATTTTTTTTTTTTAAAAAAAAAAAGAGAAAAAAAGGTACCTCCCAAAATCTTCCTGATGTCCGGCTTCGATGTCAGCTGGGCGGCCAGCTCTCCTTTGGCCGTGAGGATGGCCTTGTCGGCGCCGGCGTCCAGCAGGCAGGCCACCACGCGCGCATGGTTCCTCTTGCAGGCCCAGTGCAAGCAGGTCCTGCGGGAGCGAGGCCTGGATGAGCTGCGACAGGGCCCCGCGAGCCCCGGCCCGCCTGCCCGCGACCATCTGTCGAGGCTTTGCATGGGGTGGATGCAACAGGGGGCAAAGCTCCTCCACCGGGTGACTTTGTTTTTAAGTTATAATTCGGTTAGAAGTGCTTTGGGGCAACGCGGTGCTGCGGACACGGACACAAGCGTGGACGCACGGGGCAGGTGGACAAGGGCGGCCTCCTTTGCCCGTGACCCTCTTTAGCAGCAAAGCTCGGCGCTGTCCAGATTAGCGCGGCCTTTCCACAAGGAGAGCTGCGTCCCAGGGAACACGGACGTGGCCGCTGCTCCGTGTCCAGGACCGGCCCCCCCGGCGCCCCCC